GATATAATCAAGGTACACCAAACAAGTCTCATCCCTTACGTACGTTAAGGAACAAATAATAAGAATTCGGTGTTTGAGAGAGAGATTGCATTTAATAAAGTTAAGTAATTTGAGTACTGTGAAATGACTCGAATGGGCAGAACTAGACAAAGAATACCAACATTTGTTGCATAGGAGAAGGGAAACTGCCCGAAAACCTTCCCAGTATTCTTAACCCGTTGTGGTCACACCTCTTTTTTGAACATTTTTTAAAGGATTTTTTTTGACATTATGCCACTCAAAAGTTAAATTTTTTATAATAAGAATATGTTCTACTATGTTTAAACTTAATTCTAGAATTTTTTGCGATCTATTTAAACTGTCAGTTTTTAAACAGCATGCAGCTATTTAAAAATTGATTGGGGTCCACTGGACCCCATGTGACCACAACGGGTAAACAGGTTAATACATAGATTATATAACATATAATAAAAATACAATAAATGCATAAAACACACAAAAGAAACAAATCAATAATTATTATAGTACAGTCCTTTCCTTGTATTGATGAAAAATAAAAGTTGAATTCACTGATGCTTTTCTTCGATATATAATCAGGTTAATCATAAAGGAAATATTTATAATACGTAATCTCATAGTTTCTATTGACGTAGTCAAAATAAAAAGGAGCATGTAATTTCAGGAGAGGACTGTTTAACAAATAAAGCAAATCAATCAGAATATAAGTTCAGTTCAAACATAATTGAAATAGTTATTGAATAAATGTATCAATCTTTGAGTTCTGAATATCAATTACTTTCATTGGCCTTTTACAATTTACCATATATCAAAATTGGTCCTAGAACAAATAATTCTCTTTCAGCAAAATCATGTATTCAATACAAAAAAGATAAAGTATAAGAATTTCTCAATATATAACATTCATAGGCCTTATGGTTTGGATCGACACATTAATTCATATTAGCATAAACGGAAGATTTGATCAGTCAGAATTCGCAAAATACTTAGTAGAATAATTATCATTATCAAATCCATGAGAAATAATTCGCAAAATATTTAGTAGAACAATTATTAAATCAAGGAGAAACAATTCTTATAGAAACGCACTGAAATGAATAATCAGTAGTTCGATAATAACGCACGAGACGATTTATATGTTTCGCAAGGAACGCAGTTTCATTGAATAATTATTACACGTGAATGTAAAGAATGTTCGCAAAGTAACATAACAAACTATAAGAAAATTGTCTGATTAATGATAAAGGAACAATCGCACAAATAAGAAATAACGTCTTTCTTTTTACTTATCACGAAAATGGTTGCAACCGCACATTAATGATTTTACTTTAGACTGAGCTCAGTATACTAATAAGACTCGAGATAACCTCTATTGTCCTGTTCAAAAAAGTGAGGAAGTTTTCCTCTCAATTGCTCTCGTGATCTCTGAGAGGATTGATTATCTCTCTCGCAACGGTAGACGAAGGTCTAACGTTCCCTTTCTGTAACGATAGACGAAAGTCTAACGTTTCCACTAAAGTATAGTTAAACAGGTTACCTTTCATAGACGATAACATCCCCTCAGATGTTCACACAATGAATATATATATATAAAAGGCTCAATCCTTATCTCTTTCGTATATTCATGATTTCGCAAGGGCTCGTGATTCCTGTCGAAAAGGCTCTCTCGAACGTTGCAGCAACTGGCGGCCTTCCTTCTTTCCACGTGCCGACATGGCTCGCCGGTACGGATATCCCTGGATTCCTCTCGGTGACGATCGTATCTCTCGTTGAGTCAGATATTTGAAGTAAATAATATATCACGAAACACTTATAGGCAATTCACGACGTAATGACTCGATACTCAAAAGATGACGCAATTTTATAGCTAACTTAGCAACAGTGCACGATGCTTCGTGCTCGCGATCTAGGTAACGAATGGCTCGCTCGCCCGGGCTGCACGCCCCTCCCGATATCCTTACGCAAGCGCGCGGGAAGACCGCGCTCGACCGTTCTCGAGCGCCTGGGTTACTACGCGGTCCTACTTCGCGCACACATATCCGCGTGTGTCGACCTACCACAATACGAACGCTTGGCTGCCGCACTTATACAATCTCTCTCTCTATTTACACGTTGATTTCAAACAATGTTATTTCATTATATATTGCTTATATCCACATGTTGAATGTTGCCCATGGCTATATGATTGTTGAAACGTGTGTTATCAATTCTATTTGTTCCGATCTCGTGCTGAAATTCACTTTTCAATTCCCAGACAACCACATCATCGAATTTCTGTTGCTCGGTGACCCGTCCGCATATCATTGTGCGTAAAAGTATACCTATAAATTGAGTTACATAATCCGACGAAATAAATGAATAAAATCAATGAAGTAGAAACAAACTCATCTGACTAAACAAACTATAAAATTTAATTTAAAGACAAAGAAACTAATTTATTTTAACATACAAGTAAAAAGTTTATATAATTTTTCTTTTTTATCGAGAATTTAATTTGATTACAATAAGAAATTGTATTAAAAATTTATTTAACAGAATAAAAATTATTTTCTTTCATATCGCTAGTGTTTAATTTTCATAATATGCGACGTGGAGATTGATTAGAAGTACCTGTTATTAATCCAGAAACAATGGAGATCGCAAGGGTGACCGCCAAAGCCAGTAATTGATATCCCGCTTGCTGATACGCCGTCCTATTGAGTCCCGGTGATATTCCATAATTGCGCATCTTGCCAATTTCTGCCTCTGAGCTTGGCGCTCGTGCAGGAAAGATCTATTGACGAATAAATATTTTAAATTAACAATAATTATAAATTATAATTTAGCAGGAAATTTGCAATATCTTTAAAGAACATTTATATAGTTTTCAATTATTTTATTTTTAAATGTTTATATACATATTTTGATGGAAAACAGATAAAAATACGATTACAGTTAAAATACATTTTATCATATGTTGCATGTACAATTTTTTGAATAATTATCATCTTTATGTGGACGGGATTCTGTTCGGTAATTACCGCAAAAATTATTTAAAATTGCGATGGTCAAATTATCGTTCCGCACAGCAACGTACAAATGAGAATTAATTACGCGGAAACGATCAAATGATTAATTCAAGACAACGGAATTACGTACTTCATACAGGGCGTAACTATAAGAGGCTTCCGTGGCCAAGCCTGCCATAAGAGCCCCGAAAAATGCAGCCAGTACACCCGGCATTCCGTGTAAATTATGTACCCCACAAGTGTCATGGATATGAAAACGTTTTTGTATAATTGGCTGTAAAAAAGAGATAAAGAAATTGATATAAGATTGATTTAGTAGAAATAGGATAGTTAAATATATTTCTTGAGAAGATTTGAAAAGTTTAAAGATATTAATATTAAATAAAGATATTAAAATAATAATAGATATACAAATAATACACAACGCTATTCAAAAGTTTTAGAACAAAATTTAGATTAGAAAAAATAAAAAACAAGGTTAAATTGAGAAAAAAACTTAAATAAAAAAAAAAAACACATGAAATAAATATTTATTATTTAAAATAAACCCTTTAATATATGTACATAACTTTGTACAGTCGTGCAATTTGTTCGTTACAACAGAAAAGTCCTTGACTATAAATGATATTTAACTTCTTCGTTAAGTTATGCTGAATGGTGGGAATATCGACAAACTGTTATTGAACTTTTAATTACATCTTTAATTCCGAAAATAAAAACTAGACGAGGAGTAATTTATGTAATAACCACACTATGTGTATTTATATAATCCTTATATAAGAATATATAACAAGATCGTTTTCGATATCTAATATATTTTTGTGCTATTTTCAAAAAACTAAAATTGGTATAAATGTATAAAATCTAGCAAAATTCCTGATTAGAACGATCTAATGTATATTCTGTGTGTTCAAAGTATTTTTTTTTGTTGGCATAGCGAATAGAAGTTTATATATATATATATATATATATATATATATATATGTAACAATAAATTACGTTAATAGATTTATCTATTATTTTATTACAAAAGTATTAAAGTACACTCATCGGAAAGCGAATATTTTACGAAATATTTTATATTTTATACTGATACTAGCTGGTTACCCGGGCTTCGCCCCGGAGGACATATGTAATCAGACACGCAAATAGTCTCTCTCTCTCTCTCTCTCTCTCTCTCTCTCTCTCTCTCTCTC